GGAGGAGGAGGAGGAGGAGGAGGAGGATGCCACTGCACGCCGGTATGTCGATTATTTGCGCACTGGCCGGGTCAGTCTACTGCGGGAAGCGGGCGGGTGCCCGCTCGAGTGGCCTATGCCCACGGGGCGCTCGCCTCCCGAGGTGGGCGCCCCTCTCCGTGCGGTGAAGAGGGGGGGCTCGATGCCCCAATTCGGCGGCGAGCGGGGGGAGAAATCTACGAACATTCTACGTCGGATGCTCGTAAAACTACGAACATTCTACGCTTTTGTTTCACGGATTCGACGCGAAAGAGGGAGAGAGAGAGAGAGAGAGAGATAGAGAGAGGGAGAGAGAGGCATAGAGAGAGAGAGAGAGAGAGCGAGCGAGAGAGAGAGAGAAAGATAGAAAGAGAGAGAGAGAGAGAGGAGGGGATGGAGTCGGCGGCGAGCGATGGGGGGAAATGAAAAGGAGACGGCCTTCTCAGCAGGCGGCAGGACCTCTCAGAAGCCCTCGCGCCTTCCGAGAAGTCTTTGTTCTACCCTTGGGGAAGGCTCAGGCACCTTGTCAGAAGGCCGGGGGACGTCCGAACCTTCTGAGAAGTCCTCCTCCTTTTCACTTCCCCCTTTCGCTCGCCGCCGACGCATGGGGCTCAGACGATCTGGTATGTTTTTGGTTCCCCTCGGGGCCTTCCTGCCTCTTCGCCGAGCACGGTGCCAGGCGGTGCGCGACCCTGGCGGCTCTGCCGCGATGGCCGCCACGGAGAAGCTGTTCGGCTACAACAAGGCCGGGGCTCGGCATAACGGGGGCGGTTTAGCGCGTCCACCACTGCCTGATCCTCTTCGTCCCCCTCCCTCCTCTCGCTGCCGTCCCTCCGCTCTCTCCTCTCATCCCTGCTCCCACTGCCTGTTCCCCTCCCGCTCACGTTCTCTTCTTGTGGCAGCCCCTCGGTTTCCATATGTGTCCTATTCTTGGGAGGGGGAGGAGGGACATAATGGGGGAGGAGGAGGAGGAGGAGGAGGAGGAGGAGGAGGAGGACCAGTGTAAACCTAAGAGTCATCAGCGGTATTGAAATACACTCTCCCTCCAGGATCGCTCTTCACAGGCCCTTCACAGCCCCCTACAGGGAATTGCCCCGTTGGGGGACAACTGTGTGAAAATCTCGAAGCGTGCCAAAACACCGTTCTCAGAACTTCAACGCTACGAGCTAACCTGACTGGTAAATTTGGCGATAGTGAATTGTGCCAGAAGCCTGTCTTGGGATTTCAACAACGCGAGTCAACGTAACTGTTGCGCCTTTGACAATCCTGCATCGCTCCAAAACGCCATGTTTTGTACGTTAGCCATGGGAAGTAATACCATTCTTGCAAGTGTTAAAAACGATTGCGCGCGGAGCTCAGGCGAGAGCCTCATTTTGAAAAGGAACCGCCCTCAATCCGTGAAGCTTTTTGCAATTTTTGGAAACGAACGTGCGCGGTGCTAAGGCACGAGCCACATTGTGAAAATGACCTGCCCTCAAATCGTGAAACCCTTTGCAATATTTGCAACCAATGTGCGCGGCGCTAGGGCGAGGGCCACATTTTGAAAACCACCCGCCCTCAATTCGTGAAGCTCTGTGCAAATTTTCGAAGCGAATGCGCGCGGCACTAACTCGAGGGCCACATTTTGGAAACCACCCGCCCTCAATTCGTGATTTTCTTCAAAATTTTGAAAACGAATGTCAGCGCCGCTAACGCGAGAGCTACATTTTGATAACCATCCGCCTTCAAACCGTGAAGCTATCGCAAATTTTCAAGACGAATGTGCACGGTGCTACAGCGAGAGCCACACGTTGAAAGCGACCCAGCCTAAGTCCGTGAAGCTCTTTGCGCATTTTGGAACGACTGTGCGCGGCGCTAAGGCGGGAGCCACACTTTGAATACGACCCGCCCTCAATCAGTGAAGCTCTAGCATTTTTTGTAACGAATGTACACAGCGCTAGGGCAGGGGCTACATTTTGAAGATGTTGTCAAATTTTCAACATCAGGGTCATAAGTGGCGATGAAGTCTCAGGCGAAACGCCCGGCCCGCTCTTTCGACCGGCATCGGTTTGCGACAGCGGGGAGTTCTTTAAAAGAAACGAATGGATGATGATGATGATGATGATGATGATGATGATGATGATGATGATGATGATGATGATGATGATGATGAGGAGGATGAGGATGAGGATGAGGATGAGGATGAGGATGATGATGAGGATGAGGATGAGGATGAGGATGATGAGGATGAGGATGAGGATGATGATGAGGATGAGGATGAGGAGGAGGAGGAGAAAAAGGAGGAGGAGGAGGAGGTGTGTGTGTGTGAAGTCCGCTCATATCACCGATCTATCATCATATACCGCTAACGTATCGGCTCAGGTATTGGCATGAGCATCATACCGCGCTGCTCTCCGCGCAGCGCCCAGGAAAAGGAATAGCTAACCTCTTCCTCCTCTGCCTCTACCTACGGACCCTCGTATAGGATCGACCCTTCGGTCGTATCCCTATACACACAGGTTGTCAGCCAATTCTTTTACGCTCGTCGCTGTTGCGACTCTCGTTATCGTTGACCCGGCCGCATGACACTGCCCCCTTCGGGGCGCTGTGCCTCTATGCGCGCGCCGTCCTCGACAGCGCGCGGGCGCGACGGCACTGCGGAGAGGGCGAGAGAATCAGTGATACCCATGTCCCCCGTTTCAGGAGAGGGAATCACCGCCTCGCTCGCGGCTGCTCTTGGCGAACTTCTACCAGACTCCCCGCTGCCGCCGCCTCCCGCGCGCGCTCGCACGCCGAGGACCTCGGAACCGCGGCTCGATTGGCCTCCCGCGGCGCCCGATACGTCCGTCAGAACGCATCATGTGCCGGTGGGAACACCTGCAGTTGTCCTTGGAGACGTGGCTGGATTCGCCACACCTCCCTCCTCTCCTCCAATCTTCGTTGGTACACGTCGTGTCGGTGGGAACACCCGCAGTGGTGGCGCTGCGGTTTTGTCCCCAGAGACGCTTCCGCGCGCCACCGCCGCTGGGCTAAGATCACATCACCCACTAACGTGTCTGTTTCCGAACGTGTGCGTGTCATAGAGAATCGTACTTGGCGGACATCCCAGCGACAGTTTCCAGAACGGTATCACATTCGCTGTCCTATTCGGGACGCGAGCCGTTGTCCCTCCCAGAGACGTTCCCGGCATCGCTCCCTACCTTCCGACATGGTGTCGCGTGCCTCTCCCGCCGCCAGTGACATGGCTGAGCTTCGAGGCCAGGATGAAACTTGCGCGATCCAACAGTTGTCGGGGCTGGCCGCGCATGCGGCCACCCCCAGAGAGGAGCTTTAACAAGCTCTTGCTTTGGTCGACGTTCAGATCGCTGAATATCGATCGATCATCACTCAGGTCCAGTATAGATGGAGTCACACCGAGGTTTTGATGCCAGCACAATCCAGACGCTCCATGACTACTTCCTGAGGGTGGAGGCCCAACTGGCGAACGTCAGAGACAACGGGACTGCCGCCATTAGGACTTTACACGATGAGCTCCCGATGGCCCGACAGATCCCGCCTGCGGAGGTGCATGGACCAACGTATCAACAGCTTTGCGCGGACATCAACGCGCATTGAACCCAGGTTGAGATGACCACTGCCACGCTACACTCCCGACGTACCACATTCACGTCTGAGTTGCACGGCGAGTTGCGTGGTGCCGATATGGCCTTCGCTCGACGTCGTCTTGGCGTTTCCGAGAGACGTGTGCCAACACTGAAGAACCGAGTCTCCACGACCGAGCAGCAGTTGCCTGAAATGAGGACTGCGCTGGCTGAGTTGCGTGTTGTGCGGACCCAGACTGCGCAGCTGGGCACTTCGACTTCGGTATGCGATTTCGCCTCCCTCGAAGCCCGAATGGCCGAGGTGCAGATGGCGGCGGACCACGCGCAGTAACGACGCACCCAGATCTTTCATGAAAGAGACGCCGAAAAAAACGCGGGCAGAGGAAGCACTCACAGGTGTGGAACAGGAGCGCGAAGCACATCGCCGACGAATCCAGGACTTCAGCAACGGGTGGACAGGTACTCCCAGCGAACCCACGACGCTAACGTTGATGTCCGTGGGGCACAATAGAGCGTTAACAAAATGCAGCATGAAGTCGCGACAGCCCACGTGAGCAACACTCATATCCACCATCCAACCCCGCCCCCTGGCCATCGACGCGACCGAGTCTTCGCGCGTGCCGATGGTGACGTCCGCGCAGGCCCTACGCGACGTGCGTCGCCAGGTGCCGCCTCCGCAGCGGCTTCCACAGACGCGTCGCGTTTCCCCTGTGCGCCCGCCATCGCCTAGCTACCCAGCCGGTTCCAACGCACACTTTGTCACGCCTCTCACTTCCCAGTACCGTCCCAATCCAAGAATCAGACTCCGTGCGCGCGACACAACCTGCCACGCACTACATAACTACAAGAGCGGCAACGGATGGTTCGCAACAGCTTTGGTAGCGCTTCCAGACGCCCTGCCGGCGCCTATGCGTTCCTATGCGTCGCAGAAGACCAACCATCTTACGAGGGCCACCAGGACAGCGGCGACTTCGAGATTATCGATTGTAAACTCGCAGCTGGGCCCACTGCAGTCCACAATATTGAGCTCCGATGCCGCATCAAGGACCTCGCAGCTCACGAACATAAAGCTGGTCGTATGCTGAAGGGTAGACAAGTCTACTGGACGATACTACAATCCTACAAAGCCACTGCAGTCGACGACGCACTGCATGACTTTGAACGTCTACAACTGATACGCATGCGGGATGACGAGCTCCAGCGGTTTATCGTGGATTGGGACAATCTATTGTTGGAATGCCGCGAACCACCCGACACGCGCATACTCAAATCGTTATTCCGAGCTTCGGTGCGCCGACGCTACCTGGTGAAGCAGGATATGCGCGACTGCAACAGGATGGCCAACGACGACCCACATAGAACTTACGAGTGGCTTCCAAAACGTGTTCTCGCCAACCTCGAAGTACGCCGACTTGAGCGCCATCAGCGCAACCTCGAGAACGAGTCGAACCGACATGATTCCGCGATTTGTGCAGCGCTAAGTCTGGGCGGTGCAAGAATGGTGAAAGGTGCAGGATGCTGCGCGCTGGATCCAGCAGCCGCCCCGCGCCGCGACCTCCACGACGATCGTCTACTCGCGGCAGAGACGCCCGCGACAGACGACCTTCCGCTGGCCGCTTCTCCGGCTCACCGCAGAAGGATAAGACTAAGCAGAACTTCTGCTTCCCTTTCGCAAAGCGCGGCTCCTGCCCATTCCAAGACCGTTGCAAGCGCCCCCACGTTCCGAGGTGCGCTTTCCATCCGGGCCCGAAGTTGACATGCAAGCGCGGCATCAGCTGCTGCGGCGCGCGCGTTGACTCTGGCGCAAGGACCCCCGATTGGGCCCTGCTCGGCCCTCCAGCCGAGACAGCCGCAACGGGCCCCCCCCCCGCGACGCGGGGGGGCCGCGAGCCTTCGCCCAACAAGGGCCGGCGCCGCTCCCGCAGTCCGGGGGGCGCGCGCTGGTCGCGACGAGGCTCGCCGTCTCCCGGGCGCGGGGGGCGTTCCGACTCGCGTGGTCCAGGGGGTCGCGGTTGGTCACCCCGCTCCCCGCGGCGCGGTCGTTCCCCGTCGCGGCGCTCCAATCGGGGCCGCTACCGTGGGCGCTCTCCAACCAGAAGTGATAGGACTGGCAGCCGATCTACATCCCGTTGTAACAGCCGATCACCATCCACGCGCGATCGCG